TTTACAGCATTGAGTATTTTCGGATTAGGTATCAAATCGGCCGAATTTTTTAATTTTAACCAATATCGAGCCGATACTGATCCTGAGAATCGTATCGTATCGGACCATCTCTACACGCAATAATAACAGACTTAAACTTTATTAGAGAGATACGAGTGGATCGACATTTCACTATTTGGTGTAGGGCAGGGGTGTCCCAGAGTGTGGGTCATGATGTGAGGCATCTGAGACAGGTGGTGCTGGGATGACAGTAGTGGAAGCGGGGGACTCTGAGGGTGAGGGTGCGTCTGTATGTGAGGAGTGTTTGTGTGGAAGTGCTGTGCCTGGTGGTGGTGGTGGTGGTGGTGGTGATGGGAGTGATGGTGGTGAAGGTGTGGGTGATGAGTGGGCAGCGGGGGTGACACCGGAGACAAAGGTCTGTCCTGTAGACCGGGGCCTCTCAGGACCGTGCCCTCCGCTGGGATGATACCGTGTTCGCTGTAGCTGCGTATGGCCCCGTAGCCATTGGCTAAGCCGTTGGGAAACTGCGAGTACAGAGAAAACTTGGCCTGGGGCTCGTAAATGCCAAGACCTGGGGGGAAACCGTTGGAGACCTGCAGCATGTCCTCTGAACCTGATGGCGGGTAGAAGTCTGCATCCAGGGCAGCATCGTAGGAGGGACCGCCATCCTCGCACGGGTCACTGCCGGTGTCGCAGGTGCCTTCCTGTCTGAGATTGGCTGAGTCAATGAGCTGAGGGGGTTGCTGAATTGTATTTCCCATGATCCCTTGCATGAAAGAGAAGGAGAAATCCATTGTTGTGCTCCTGCATCCTTAACTGTCTTTTTCTTTGACTGGATCTAATACCAGGGAACATGACATGGGACACAGGTAAAGGTAAGTGAGACTGATAATTTCAATTTGCAGGTTTGACACTGAACATCAACTGGTGCACGATTACAAACACACAGTAAGCCAATACACATATCACTACTATTTTATCATATACATTTAACACCTTTATATAAGTGGCGCTTTGGCCCAGAGGCAATGTCTCTGTCATTGGTGTGGAACCCCAGGGTTCACCTCCTGGACAAGTTCGAATCCCGGTTAGGGCGGTTAATACCTTCCAGTGGACTCACCACCCGCAGGAAGGTTTGGGGGGTTGGTATGGTGCAATGTGATTTGGGTAGCGACTGCTGTCCCCGCAACCCGGTAACGGATAAGCGGATGAAAATGGATGGATGGATGGATGGATTATGTCGGTTACTTTCTCGTAAAAAGCATCACCAAAAAAAAAAAAAAGTCTCCTGACGCATTTATTCCACTTTGTATTGATTTGAAAGTATCTAAGAATAAAGTACAGTTAAAATAAATGTACTTCAAAGATTTGCGTAAAATACATAAAAGCCAAATATATATTTTTTTATATGATAAACAGAGTGGAACCTCGGTTGTTGAACACCTCCCTTTTCGACCAAATCAGT